GCACTTAGACGGTTGTTACGGGGTGTTGGCGTCCCTTTCTGGCTGGTGGCATCTGGTGGCAATCAGGCCCGGTTCCGGAGTCGACTGCCACTGCGACACCTTCCATTCCGGAGGTCCCAGAGCTCACGAAGGCCAGCGACAGTGCAGCGCTCGCGTCTTGCTTGGGCGGCCGTCCCTGTGCCAGGACTTCGCTCCCGGTACAGAGGTGGTCATCGAAGGCCGCGGCACACGTCGAAGGGAAACAGCGTTGGCAATCGTACCACATGCAAGGATTGCAGAAGTTTCCGGCTTTCAACGGGCTTCGCGGCACGGTTCAGCTGCTGGACAAGACCACAGGGCGTCGGGTTCTCAGCTCGCGCGATGCAGAACTGCTTGGCAGAGGAGAGACAAGCCGCCCGGGGCGGGGGGGCGGGCGGGGTTCCCGCCAGTGTCCAATGTCCCAGGCTACAACGTGCAGCTGTCTTCTTCCGATGGGCCCCTCGAGCAGATCGCGAAGATCAAAGGTGACAACCTTCGAATGTGGCTTGGAAGTCTTTGTGTTTCGCATGCGAAAAATTCTGCCGCGAAGCGGCGCCAACTTGAGGTTGGTGCCACCGCCTCCGCCTTTCGACCCTGGGGATGCACGGGATGCAATGACTTGTATCTGTGTGGACAGCTCTCTGGAAGCCGAGGAGTCCAGCGTCACGGCCGCGGACTTGGAAAATCTGGGAACGCCGCGACATGCTGCGACTCTCCGCGACTGCGGTGGAACCCGTCACCCTCGAATCTGGAATCCTTGAGTGTGCCGAGGTCAAGGTGGAGACGCCTTCCGCAATGCATGCGAGGCTCCAGACGTGACAGAAACAGTCCACACCTCCTGCAGATTGCTCAAACGTCGGCAAGGGCGCCCGACTTCGTGCCGATGCGGCAGATGGGCTTGACAAACATTCCGCCCAATCCTCACTGGCAGGAGAAGCAGCGGAACATGCTGTCAAGACATGTGAGTCACGTCTCCGTTGTCCACGCTGACGACGAGTAGCCAGCTCGCGTTGACTCGCGTGTGCAGGTGCAGTTGCAATTGAACTGCGAGCATCTTTGAGTTTCCAGCTGCAACCGAGAATCTGGCATCCGTGACAGGATCCCCATGCAGCGCCTCCCTTGTACCCAGAGCCTTGGCAATGCCTGCATGTCAGTACTCAGTACCTAAAGGTTTGGCGACCATTGGGCAGCTACTGGGGTTTTGCAGGGACGTTTCAATGGGCACGGTGCAGACCGGGACGAGCGGAAGGAAACGGTCGAGTTGCGTTCATGCCCCGAGAGCCAAGGGAGATCCTCACTGCCAGTACGACTCGTACGTGCACCCAGCACATTCGCAACTTGTCTGTAGTCTGTCCGTAGTGTTTGCGTTGGGGACGGGTGGCATTTCGGTCGTGAAATGCCTGGCACTGCCTGCAGGCATCAGTTTGGAGGATTTATTATAAGGGGATTTAGGGAGCCAAGCATGCAGGAGCAGCAGTGTCTCGCTGTCGGAGCCAGATCAGCAGGCGTTTCGATCGCCTACTGCACCGGGCCAATAGTTCGACCCACTAGCTGCAACAACAAAGTTAACCCCTGCCCCCACCCTCTTCCCCGTAGACTCCTAACACAAGTGGGCCCTGGGGCCTCCTCCGGAACTAAAAGGTTTTATAATTTTAAAACGGGGTAGAAATTACTCTGCTAGCCTGCGTAGGGTAAACGACACTTTGAGGCACTCCGCTACTCCGCAAGAGCTTGTATGTTAGATAATGGACTTGTAGCTCGAAACTTTCGGCCCGGGGATGTATAGTCGTTCCATGCAGGGTTTTTGACGGGGGGCTGATTTCTGAGAGATGCCCAACTGAATGACTTGAAAGGTATGCTCCGGTTCCTCCTCCTGTGAAGTATGCAGCTCGCTGACCTTCATACTCGTATTTCGACCACCGAATTTGAAACGGCACCTCGGCATGATGGAAAGTCTAAGAAATGACGATGCCTGTGCGCACGGCTGGAGGACTATTTGTGCAACAGATTTGTGATCGCGAATTCGAGCCTTGGCTTCGCTCAGTGTGGGGTGGTTATGTGGTCGGCTGCCCGTCTCAAGCACTTAAAAAGCTCAGGGGCCATCACGCCCACTGGAATCCGCTCTCAACTTGATTCAGAGCTTTGGCTTGTCGATAATTTTTCATTCGGGGCTGAGTCAGGGCGCCCACGATTTCCCAGTTGATCTACAGTATGTGTACCGCGCATGGAAGGGCTGTGTGATTCTAGATCCTGTCCCTGCCACAGCACTCGAAGCCACGGTCCTTGTTTGCGCCCATCTGGTCGAAAAGCTGGGCTAGGCCGGCGCAGGCCAAGACCCTGGCACAACTAGCTTCGGGTTACTGATCGAGGACCCCGACGCCCACCAGTGGCGTGGGTGCTGCGTCAGCCTTTCACAGAATGTGGGACACCGTATGCAGTGCAGTAGGTATCCGTAGGGGTTTCAGCGGGGCTTGGCAATCAGATAATCAGTGGCGACATGTGGCGACACGTCGTAGCTGGCGCAGCAGGGGCATCTCCAAGACCCTCTGCCACGATGCGAGAGTCTTCCTGAGCCACTCGCAACGGCTAAGGCTTAGGGATTGAAGCCGTCTACGATCTGCTGGGTGCATGGCTCGGGAAGGCTTCGGCCATCCGCTCCTTGTACTCAGGCGCTGAGTCCTCGTCCAAGAAAAGAGTGCATCACCGGATCCAGCGTCGGCTACATGCAATCGCAACGTCGACCCCATATGGATCAACAGGGTTGGCCTTGATTCTTGCATTCTTGCCATTGGCTCAGCAGGAATTCAAAAGACCCAGTCAGTGGTCGAAGTGGTACAGATACTTGAGCCCTGAGCAGACCGGCGGATCAAGGCTCACAGTGCCTTACGTTGGATGGCTGTGGTGCCTGTGGTGCGGTTTCTGAAGCCGACAAGTTGCATGTGCTTGGGGCAGGACACGACGATCCTCCTGTAGGACTGCCCAGCCTCCAGGACCTTCTGCATGCATGTGATGCATGTGCAATGTGAGGATATTGGTCAGTGAAACCGCCATCTCCCAGCCGACTCTGGAATAACTGGAATGACGCAGGCTGTGCAAATGATTGGCTGCCAGAGAGAGTTCCGCTTGAGTTACCGTAGGTCAATGTGGCAGAGCATGCGGAGCCAGAGACCTTCAACATCGAGAAAGCCACTCCGACACCATCATACAGCATCCATGCGGAGCCCGGAACAAGCAAATGAATGCACATGTATGGCCCAACAAGGCTGCAACCCCAGCAGTGCATCCTTGAATGACATGGGTGGAGTTTATCCGCGCTACCTTAGTTTTGTTTCTCCGTTTTGGTCGAGCGTGTTCGCGATCCTTGTGGCAATTGTCTCCGAAAGTCCTCGTGAAAGGTCTGGTGGAACCCCCACATCATGTGACAGGGAATCCGATGTACGAGAGGCGGCCGAGAGCAGAGAGAGTTGAGGCTTTGGAGTCCTTCCTTGCCGACGTGCCGCCCGGATCTGCAAAGAGCAGAAGAAGAGCATGCGGATGCACGCGTGCGTGCGCTTTCCCGTCTCTCGCGTCCAGGAGCAGCCAGGAGCTGCGGCTGCCGCCTTTGGATCCCGAGCAGCGCAAGCAGGCGCAGAACCGCACAGATCCGCGTCGGAGCGACAGAAGCTGAGAGACGCGGAAGGCCAAGAAGCTGGCGGAGAAGTATCCGGAGATGAAGTGCGAAAGCTACGGTTTTGGTGAGGAACGAACTTTTGCCGCATTGCGGATCAGGCAGTCTAGGATGTTGCAAAGTTGAACCTCTGCAGCTATCTCTTCACAGTGAAATCACTGGTTCATCAAGTGCTCGCAGCCTCTGCCATCTGCCAAGGCAGATTGCATCTGTTCAAGACCGCGGCAACATTGAAAGCCGGCCTGGCAAAGGAAGGCCAGGAGTCGCCATTGGGCGCAGTGCTGTCTGTTAAGTCCGATAACTTGCACCGCTTATGCCCAGCCTGTTGCATTCACACGGAAGGTCCCAAGGAGCTGCAGCAGGCAGAGTGTGCTTCGGATCATTCCACTGCCGTTTCAGGCGCCAATGAAACCACACTGGGAAATCGGAATCCATTTCCTCATAGATCCATGTCAGTTGTCTCCGGGGCTTTCGATGTTGGAGAATGCCTTCTGCCTCGGGGTTTCCCATGCGGCTTCCTAGTTCAGACGAACTCCCTGCGCTGCGACTTGGTCAGCTGGGCGGGTGGGGAAAAATAGATCCGTGCCAGGAGCTGCCTCGCCGGAAAAGACAGAGGGCATTTCTGGCGGTGCCTTATTTGAAGATCCTTGGCTTACGTCGCCTCATGTCGCATCTGTAGCTTTCGCACGACTTGAAGCCTACTGGAGCCATGGATTGAGCAGGTTTCGTGACGTTTCGTGCATTCCTTGCGCTTCCCACCGAGGAAGTTGCGGCACTACTGTCAAATCTCTACCAGGTGCGGAACACTTTCATCCACATCGAGGCAAGCTTCTGTGATGCCTTTGCCGGATCACAGCGTTGGACGGGAGTTTGGGGACGCTCTCTAGTGATGGTGATGCCCGTGCGTGCAACTAGCTTCTGAAGCAACAAGGTGCAGTACAATGGCTGAAGATAGCACAGACATGTCGATAGCAGCGGGAACGCGGTGTTGCTGGTCAATAGATACCGAATAGACATTTTCCATGTGATTTATGATGCTTCTCTTCAGGGTTTGTGTTCGGTGTCGTTCTACATGTCTCACCCCAGATTCCACCCTTGCATGCGCTGCAACCTTCAGGGGATTGCAAGCCATCCGCTGGGGTTCCCTGATCGATGTGGAGACCTAAGACCTATAGTAGTGTGGAAGATGTTTGAAGGAACGCAACGCATCCAACACCATCCCTCATTGTTGGAAACTTGAAGTTTCGAGCGACATGAGACAGTGCCAGGAGAAGGGGTTTGTGGATCAGCGCAACATCCAGTCTATGCCTCATGGAATGTCTCTACACCGCAGTTATCTCGGCTTGGTGTCTGGTGAGCTCTGTGCATTGCGGCACAGTCGGCTGCCCTTCACGCGCTAAGGTTTCGGCAGTGCTTGCAGGAGGAAGCTGCCCAGATCCCACAAGACGGTCACGCAGGAATCAGCTTCAAACATAGCAAGTCCCGGGCAAGCACCGCGGTGGAGTCCGGGCTGCCCCAGCTCTTGTCTTCGAGAAGTCGCCACAAATGGAAGTTGTTTTTTCCGCGGAAGTTGTGGTTTCGGCAGCCTGTCGGCAGGCCCCGCGACTCCTGCTGCCGAACCTGCCAATGATGCCAATGCATGGATTCCAGAGGTTCCGGAGATCACCAAGACCAAGGCCAGCTATGGCCAGCTGTGGACTCTGGGGATGACACGGACAGAGGGAACCTCTGAGGGTGAGAGCTAGCTAGAGGAAGGGGGAGGGGCCCGGGAGGGAGAGAGTGAGGGGGCGAGAGCTGGAACGTGCGGTTGGAGCCCGACAGGTCCACTAGGCCCGAGGTCTGCGAGTCGACCAAGCAGCCATTGTCGAGCATCTACAGTGATCTAGCTTTGCCATGGCACATGCTGAAACTTTGAACTTGTCCTTGCGTTTCCCGGGATTCGGCAGCTGCATAGCTGAGCCTGCGGGGGCAATGCCGCAGCTGGGATGTTCGCCGGCAAAGACCAAGCAGCATCACGTATGCGCACAGGAGGGGGGAACCCTACCTCCTCACAAAGCCCGAGGGCAGCAAGCAAGTAAGCAAGAGAAAAAGCACCAGTGCCAGTATCGGGGTGGGTACTGGTAGAGACAAGGGAGGCAGGTTCTATCTGAATTTCGTGCCTCACAATTCCGGTTGAATGCATCAATGAATCAACAGGTCTGTAGGATTCAACAGGTTTCGTTGGACTCCGCAGAGTCGCCAGTGCGAGCTTGGTGCAGTGTCCTCCTTCCGTGTGCTTTTGCGAGGACTTCGCTCCTGGTACGGAGGTGATCATTGAAGGCTGCGGGGCAATACTTGACAGGTGGCTGTGTTTTTGCACATGGTTTCTCTGGTGGCCCAGGACTGCAGAAATTCCCCGCTTTCAACGGGCTTCGCGGCACCATCCAGCTTCTAGACAAAACCACAGGTCGTCGGGTTCTCAGCTCGCGCTGTGCAAAAGGTTGGCAGCTGGAGCGGGCACCTGCGTGCTGGTAGCTTGCAGTGGCCAAGGCTACAATGTGCAACTTGCCTCTTCTGATGGGCCCATGGACCAGATCGCCAAGATCAAGGGCGACAACCTTCGAATGTTTCTTCGGAGGCAGTGCAGCAGTTGGTGTCTGAATCTGTCGCATCATCATGCATGTTTGGCCACGGGCTCGGCATCCCGGTCCGGCCTGGTATGTACCCGGTATGTAAGGTTGGCGCCGCCTCCGCCAAGCGTTCCTTGCGCTGCATTCGGCTTTCAAGCCGATGTTCTTCATGGCCTTGCGATGAACTGGAAGACGCAGTCGTGTTACCGCAACAGACAGACTCGCTGCATTCTCGTTGATTTTGCGTTGTGCTTCTCTATCCGAATTCGTGTTGGCTGAAGTTAGCCAAGGCTACGCCAGAGACCCCATCCAAGATGCACGCCAGGCAGAAGATGCCGAAAACCCAAAAGATTATGAACTTCAGCGAACTGCACTCATAGCTTTGGTTGTCCATTTGCGGAGCAGGGCACCGGACTTCGTCCCGATGCAGCAGTGCGTGAGAATGCCGAACGTGCAGCCCAACCTTCAGATGAACGCACAGCACCTGCAGCCGAACGTTCAGCCAAACCCGACTTGGCAGGATCGGGTGTTTGTGTTCAGTTTTTGATTCCATGGTTTTTCAATTATTCGCACGCATCGGGATGGTGCCACTTGAGGCTTGTCCTCGTGCGTCGAAGCAGACATGTTGGCCAGGAGCCCGCCCTGACGATTCAGCAGAGCTACGCCGCAGCCCGAGGCGTTTCCCTTCGGAGCGGCTGGCAAAGATATGCGAAAACTGCGAGCCTGGAGCCAGAAGTTTTTGTTGATTGCCGGTGGATACTGAGGATCCATCCCAGTACTACGCATACCAGCTGCTCGGCCCCGTGTTGAGCTAACAGTATTAGTCAAAAGTTGCAAAATACAAGAACAGCCGCGGCTGGTGTATTGCTTCTGGCCTTATTGCATGGAGCCCAGGGGCACAAGCGGATTTCTCAGTGCCAGCGGATGTTGGGGCAATTGGGCTGAGGTGCGCACCGAAGATTGCAGCCCGCTGACTTCGCCATGGGAAGTTTGCGGATGACCCTGGAAGTTACTGTGAAGTTCGCAAAAGACAAGTTAGCATCCGTACTGAAAGTAGGAGTAGTGCATAGCCGTGCCATGATCTACAATTGTCTTGGAACGAGCCCACTTTGCACTTAGCACATCTACCAACTTACAGGGTCATCCTAGTACAGCATAGGACGCGCAAAGGTACCTCGATGGTGGGGTGCTCAAGAGGGAGGCAACTACACTGACAGTGACACTCAAAGACAAGCCCGCTCACGCGAACTGAGGACCTGAATTCCATTCTGCGCCTGGAGAATGCTGGAATTTGAACCTTGCCTGAACAGGGCGGTGGTGGCTGAAGGCTCGCTAGTACGCTAGTGGGGGAAGTGGGAATCTACAATTGCACACAGGTGCTGCAAAGGCTGAGGCCAAGGCAGCGGCACACCCATGCTGCCAAAGTGATACCGAGGAATGTGTTGACTTGCCCTCAACATTGCTTCAGGGCCATGCATGAACAACTAGTATTTTTTGGCAACATCGTCTTCCCGCTTTGATGCACTGGCATGTACACGCTCGTCAACGTCGAAAAAGACGGGCAGCGTGCAGCCAGAGAGGACGTCGCCGCTGATTTTAACTTTCCCAGGATTTCACTTGACCTGCTGGACGGATGACTGATGTGATTTGCTTTTGAGTGCACGTCATAAGACAGATGTGTATCCGTGAGGTCGCCAACATGTTCATCCGATCTGGCAGGTCATGAATGCATCCTTTGAACTCCTAGCTTCGACACGCACTGACTTTCCTTGGAATCCTGTGCAGCATGCCATGAGCTCAAAACCCAGTCTCCCTTTTGTTTCAGCCGGCACAGCCGAGAGCAGGAGGGCGAGAGCAGCTCGGTCCAGCTCCGGGGAACAGAGAGAGAGAGAGAGAGAGAGAGAGAGAGAGAGAGAGAGAGAGAGAGACAGAGCCCGCCTCTTAAGCCCTCACGCCCGAAGGAAGAAGAAGAGAGAGCCCGAACGGGAAAAGAAAGAGAGAGAGAGAGAGAGGTGGGGGCCAATGGCCTGAGGCTCGCAAACACGCGACCCCTATGCCCTGCAGAAAGAAAGAAAAGAGGTGGGGGACAAACCGGCGCGGTCTCACGCCCCCTCAACGAAGTACCGAACAGTGGGGGGCCCTCGTGGCCGGGGGGTTTCGCACACCCCCTCAGCCTTGAGGAAGAAGAGAGGCAGAGAAAGAGAAGACCCCAAAAGCGGGGGTGCAGCCCTTCGCCGTGCGTGAAGCCTGCACTCATCCAGCAAATGCGTGGCCTTGCTTCTGTCTGCTCCAGCCTGACACAAGCTCAAGCAAGACAACTTCACACTCCTGGAGATAACTGGCGAATCCACCGAGTTGTGGTTTGATTCACAACACGTGCTTCAAGATGCGGCAAGACAACATTACGGAGCGCAACTTGCCGAAGCAGACGGCACCGCGGCACCACGCAATCTGAGAAAGCGAGAAGCACTCCGTGGCACGTGCCAGCTGATGTAGTGGTCGTGAGCTGGGCTCGTCTTGTCCGCCGCATGCCGTGCTCGTGCGGCATCTTCAAGAGACGGCGGAGGCCGAAGTTGTGTGCAGAGGCAGGGCATTGAAAGGGTGCCAGCTTTGCGCTGCGAAGTCAGCGCGACGATCTATGGCCCTGTCTAGCTGGCAGACGGCCTCAATGATTCCGAGCTGTGTTTGATTTGATCGTTCTTGAACCAGGCCGAGACATCCAGCGACTCGCATGAGTCTGACTCAGAGCCTGGTCTTAGAAGGGCGGGAATGATATGTGCATTTCGGTCGTCCTGATTGCACTGAGGACCATTTCCACGAGGATGGAGATCCTGAGCCTGCAAGCGGAAAGAAGCAGAGGAGAAGACAAGTGCACCGCATCCTGGACAGAGATCCTCCTCTGAAATACCATTCAAAACTGAATTTAGTTGCCATCGCGCAGAGCCTGGCGGCCGCCGTGATATAGAGTGCACACATGTGAGACCTTGTGCTAGTAGTAGGATTAGGGACAGCTGATACCACGATTGAATTCAGACACGACGTCGACGTCGAACGGGCCCTAGTCTTTCATTTTCCGGTCCACCATCAAGTGAAATTCAATGGCGCGGCCTCCTGCACGAGGAAGGCGTGGAGTTCCAAAGCCAGGGCGTCTTCCACGTGGTTCAGACGAGGAGAACTTGCACAATCTTCCTCCTAGACTTCTTTCACACAGTCTCTCTGCCGATGTTCGTTGTGAAGCTGCGTCAAGCTCATCTAGAATCAGTTCTGGAATCGAGACAAGGTTATTCATCTACCCTTTCCGGGACTCTTCGTGGTGACCTTGACTGTGCCGGGGGCCCAGGCTCCAAGGAGCGAGTTCGGCCCTGCGAGGATCTGTCGAGTTCGAGTGCTTCTGTCATCTAAAAAACCCTGGAAGGTACTTTGCATGCTTCGCCTTCTTTGCTCTGTTCTGGATTTGGTTCAGCGATGTTTGCGCTATCGGCCTCGACTCCTACAGAGATGCATTTTATCTGTCCGTGGAAACGCAGATGACAATCGGCTATGGCCCCGATTCTGCATTCAGATCACAGGAGGCTAAGAGCCTTACCTGTGCCTCGCACCCCCTTTTTGGTTCTGTCCATGTCGATGGGACAGGAAGAACGCGGGTACCCTTTTGTTGCCTAGCCAAGCGCCACATCAGAGGTGGGCTCTTAAGCTAAGGCGTTCCAGACCCTAACTTCGGCGACTGCTGGGAAGCAGCTGCTGGGAATCATTAAGCCCTGAGCCTTCCGGGGAATGAGGACCAGGTTTCTGTTTCAAGGGCACCTCAAGACTTCTTGCCCGAGGCGGTCCTCATCGTGGTTCAGACGGTGGTTGGGTTGATGCTGGATGCCACAGTGATCGGGGTGGTCTTCCAAAAGCTGGCCAATGCGAATGCCCGTGCAAACACTGCCCCTCGCCTCAAAGAGAGTCCTTTGTCTCTAGCCCAGGAGTGCAGGTAGCCCGTCTCTTGCAAACGTCTCTCCTGCTCAACAACAAAGAAGGCAAGGCAATTCGAAGAAGGCAATGCATCACAAACTGCCTCTTCGATATACCTCCGGCTGTGACGGCTGAGGTGATCTTCAGTGACACTGCATTGCTAGAGGTGGAGGAGGGTTGTGCATATCTTCGCTTTCGCGTGGCGGACATGTCCCTAGCCTCTCATTGAAGCACCTTTAGATTCTGTGCATTTCATGACACATGCCTACCTGAGTTCAAGGTCTTGGCGGCCATTGTCTCAGGCGACAATGCCACTTGGCAAAGCATGACGAGCCTTGCAGGTCTCCAGCAAAACATATGTCAAAGCAGCTTCGGCTTAGCATAGCCGCTCAATATTCGGAAGTTGGCTGCAAACAGATAGCTCTTGTCGTCAAAGCCCGGCAGCAGGGAGTTCTACCAGATGATAGGAGAACCCCTCAGTGTCTAGTCACGTCTAGTCTTATGTATTCCGACACATTTTCGCCGAAACAGCAGAAAGTTCAAGCATGTCATGTGTGAGCATGTCTAAAGGGAAGGGAAGAGGCATGGCTCCTAGTACGGGCAGAGAGCGACTGATTTCATCATGTCATCACATTGGTGCAGACACCCTAAGTACGACCTTTTCCCATCCTGTGCCATCCCTGACGAAGCCAAGGCAAGTGTATTGCGTGCAGCATCATCGAGATGAAAGCCAGCCGCGTGGAATCCGCGTGGAGCTAGCCGCCGTGCATCTTGAAGAGCCCGACACCGATATCCACAACGGCATCATATTCCTAGGCTTGGGCTCTTTCAGTAGAAGGGGCACAGTTGTAAGAAGCGATGTGATGGGCAACTTACCCATGACAGCCATGCTCATGCTTGCGTGGTTTTGCTGACCGCAGGCCTGCCCGCCATGGTCTCCCACAAAATCAATTACGAGAGCCCGCTGTCGCCAGATGTGCCTGCTGGCACGTGCTTCGTTTTGAAGATAGGCGCCTTTCAGTTGAGCCGTTTCGCGTTCTGCAGGCTCACAGGACATGGAGCATAGGACACAGTAGAGGGGACTTCTGGGGCACGATTCAAGTGACATTTCATGCAGCCATGTCCCCGTTGCAAGACTGAGGACCGGCAGTCCGACTCCGAATGACGTTCGAAAGTACCTGCCACTGTGTCAACATGCATGAAGCTGACGTGAAATCGATGTGGGCCTTTTTATAGACCGAACGGCGAATCCGAGCAGTGCCAAGCCGAGGATTGAGTCGCCTTATTTGGAAGTTCTGGTGTTGCTGAGTGGCACGGAAGAATCCACAGGAGCCGCTCCTGGCCTTTACCCATCGAAGGTGTAGCGTGGCTGCTTCCTGCATGTAGCCCTTGCAGCCACCAAAACTACAAGTACAGTCTCAACCCGTGTGGCAGCGCAGGAGCCATCGTAGAAGCGCGACACTCCTACACCCTGGATGTGCCCTGGCATGCCACGGAAGCTTTTTCCAGCCACGAGGCTGCCTCATGTTGAAGGCCCTAGAAGCGATGATGCACCTCCGAGGACATGTTCTGGAACAGAGCATATGGAACATGCGTTTCCATCAGCAGTAAAGGTTATCACTGTGTCGACTTTCATGCCATTCACCATACCTATCCTTTGTCAGCGTTGCCAGATCAGCGACATACCACAGTGCTGAATAGCGCTGTCGCCCACGGAATTTCGCACACATTCCCGGCCACGCTGGATGCAAACATGGACAGCGACAACGAGTGAGAGATCCGCTGGGCGGCCCGTGTAGTCGTTTGCGAAGAGCGCAACTTCGAGACTGAAAGGGCGAAGCCACACCGCACTCGACGCGTTGCTAAATGGTGTGGGGCAAGCTCTCAATGCTTGGCAGAGACTGTTACACCTTAGACAAGCACTCTGGAAGTACTTGGCCGCTTGTCCGTTGCTCAAATCAGAAAGAGAGCGCTCAGAACTTGCGCTCATAGAGAATGCTGCGGCCATGCCGCCTGATAGCAAGGGGACTCCTAGGTGTTTCTTAGGGACGGGAGGAGACTCAAGGTTGTGCACCTGAGGTTCCATGCTGAAGGCAGCCATGGCGCGGTTCCCAGGAGCTGAGGCAAACTGTACATGTAGAGACTGTATGGGCCATGGAGTGGGCGCAGACCGAATCACTAGGAATTGGTACTGAGGCCCAGCTCCATGTCCACCCGCAACACCGGCTTCGTTGCGTCCCAAAGGAGCTGCCAACCAATCTACAGTGGTCAATGTAAGCGACTTGACGGCGACACAAGATACGAATTCCCGAAGTTGTTGGGCGCGTTCGAGTCATTCGTTCATAAGAATCATAAGAGTCGCTTTGATAACCGAGCACACTGTGATGTGTTGCCTGTTTTGTTCGCAGGAGATGTTGCGGGCCCAAAGGCCGTCGTGGGAGCCTGGAGCGTGCCCAATTTTGGCAAGGGAGATGAGAACCAGGAGCTCATGCTGCCAAATCTGTTTCAAGCATTCAGCATATTTCAGCATCACCATGTTTATATTCTGGAGGCTTGTTTTTTGCAAAGAGAGAAGGGAGAGCCACAGGGGCCAAGGTAGTTCACTTCCCAGTGGACAAACCTGCCACGCCACACAAGCTGTGGTTTCCAAAAATCCACTGAGGACTTGAAGACCTGTTCGCCAAACCTTAGCCCTAGCCGACCCTGCAGCAAGCTGCAGTACTTGTAGCTGGTCCGTGGTTTGTCGCTCAGAACTTAAAGTTCAATGCAATCAGGATGCTTTCGTGACCTCTTGCAGCGAAAATGGGACCAAATGCTTCGTGGGTGCCACGCACCAAGGATTTGAATGTAGATGTCGCGACTCACACAAGCTACAGTCCGGAAGGGTGTAGATCGTTCTCGAGACGCAATGCGCAGCAGTTCCACCACTTCGATCGCGAGATATCCTGAGGTCTTCGACGGACACGGAGATCAGGGAAAGCGCATGTCCCATTTTGCAAAACAGGCCAGAGGCTTGGCTTCAGGCAGAATCAGGCAGAAGGCGCTGGTCCCGGCGCTTCCCTCAGCATCGATAGCTCGCCTGCATCCAAGGCTCTCAGCAAGAGCCTCTTCAGCAATACAGATCTCCATACCGAGCCCGTGGCGGCGATACAGGCATGTGCAATCTTCCAGTTGGGCTTTCATTGCTTACAAGATGTTGGTTGCACCGACCTTTCTAGAAGCAAGTCCTCGCAAGGCCGCGTTCCGAGACACCCAGGTGCAGCTTTTGGGGCTAGGGTTGCCCCAGACCCGAGAGGATGAATTCCGGAAACTACCAATACGCTTGGCATGACTGGTAACGTGCCCCGGATAGTGCGTCATTGTGGGAATGACCATCACAGCGAAGTGTGCGGCAGGAAAAGATTGAGAAAGAGCATCGTCATCAAGCAGAGCTGTCTGGGACGACGGCCATTACAGCTTACCAGCAACTTGAAATAAAGTTGGAGGTTGCAGAAGCACTTGTAAGGGGGGGTCTGCATGCAGCTTCTATCAGCACGCTGATGCTATTGTAGGCTCTGCACGGATTCCTGAGGCACCGCAATCGTTTGGTAGTTGCGAATGTGCGAAGCCAAGACAGTGCAGGACGGTTTCAGGGCCTCAACTCCAGGTCTTGCAAGTTCAGTGCCTTAATGATGCTAAAGCAATGTATGACACAAGTCAATGCAGTGGAGCAGCCATAGCATACTCGGCTTGGCTGATTTCTGGCTCGCTTTGCTGCAACCTTGGTGATCAATGCTCAAAACGGCGCCATAGTTCCCCAATTGGGGTTTTGATCAGCAGGTACCGGAGGCAACGTTTATAAAGCGGATCACGTCACAGCCAAATTTGCCTGCATGCAAGCCCTGCGGTGCCTCCGTGAGGTCGAAGTGTTTATGCCAGCCTACTCCGACGATTGCTGACGACAACTGCGACTATTGCGACGGCGACTGCTACTGCTCCTTGTCGTGCTGGTGCTAGCACCAGCGACATTGACAGCGCTAGCGCTGTTGCTAGTGCTGCTGCCGCTGCTACCACCATTGTTCCTGAAGTACTTCTGCTGATACTGCTGCTGCTGCTACTGCTACTGCTACTGCTACTGCTACTCCTCCTCCTCCTCCTCCTACTACTACTACTACTACTCCTGCTGCTGCTGCTGCTGCTGCTCCTGCTCCTGCTCCTGCTACTCCTACTGCTACTGCTACTGCTACTGCTACTGCTGCTACTACCACAGTGGAGAATCGTGTCCTAATGGGCACTACCCTCATTGTGCTTTTTGAACCGGGCGGGCGATGCTGGTACACTGACGATAGTGCGGTTTCCCCTAGTGTTCCCGATGCTAAGGTCTTCCGCGAGAATGCTTTCTTTCTTCATGCAGCATCGTCTGAGTAGTTTTGCCTTCGCTAAGCATGCGTCTGCCAAGCATTTTAGATGCGGTGCGCTATAAGCCCTACGGGGTCCAGAAGTGCGCGCCCCAGCCGCTGAGCGAACTCACCTACGCTGCACGTTGAAGTGAAGTACTACCACTACTGCTGCTGCTACCAATCATAATACAACGACGACTATTCCCACTGCGAGGCCGATTGCTACTGCTTCTTCTACTTCTACTTGTCCTTCTTCCTGTGCTGTACTGCGTACTGTGATACTACTCCTGCTTTTGCTACTGCTGTTGCTGCTGCTGCTGCTGCCGTCGTTGCTCCTGCTGCATAGCCCCCCCACCCCCCTCGCCTTCCCGGGTACCACCCCCCGTTCCTCCCGCTTCCGGGGCTGTCTGCGACGACAGTCACAAGGATGGGGTCAAGTTTGTTGGGCGCGATCCTCCAACCAGTCGTAGCATTTCTACGTGGGTCAGAATGCTTCCGTGGTTGCTGGCGTTCAGACTCCTGCGCACATGCGGGAGTTTGGTTCTGTCTTTTTGGAGCGGAGGATGGGATCCTCACCGCAATGTTGCCAACAGTCGGCCACTAGTGTCGGGGCAAGGATTCGCATGACAGAGAGTGGATCTTCACAAACCGCACCAGAGCGAAGCTAAGTCGCAGGGATGGAGCACCATCCGCAAGGGAGCACCAACACCTCCGGTCCAGTGTAGTGCAGAAACAACTACAATGTCACTCAGTATGGCAGCATGCGACGAGACAGCCGGCTGCATGCTGGAGCCAACACAAGGGTGGTGAAAGGGCCGGTGTTCTTGCCTCTCCAAGCCAACCGCGAACAAGAACAGACCACCCCACAGGGGAGGGGGGGACAAAGAAGCCACGCGACCAAGAACCGAAGCAGTACTAGGCACCACGCCACAGGGGCGGGGGGGAGTGAAACAATGGGGTGCGGGGGGAGGGGGGAGGCCGACACGACCACACATGGTGAATTGTGTTCCTTTCGGTCGTGTTCCTGCTGATGATCTGATGGCTTCGTGTGTGATAGTTTCCTCCACCACGTGAGTCAGCGGGGACTCCGCCGTGCACTCCATGATACTGGCAATGTGCAAATGTGGCGCTCCATGACTGGGCATGAGTATTGTGCCGGCGCCAGTGTGCATAGCCCCTGCGCTGCTATCGTCCTTGATGATCGAGTAGGGCTTGGTTGCTGTTGATTCATGTTGAATTGTTGAATCGTGTCCCCACTCTTCAGAAACCCCGTGTTTTCTCATCCTCGCAGTTTTTCGTGTGTGCTTCTGCATCACAGAATTGCCAGCTTGTCACGGCTTAGGTAGGGGACTCGCGAGCTGTGCTGGGTCGATGCAGCACGCCTGCGCGGCAGACCGTGTCTGCTGTTGACCTTTCCAATGACCAGTGCAGGCCTAAGCTGCTTAGACACGTGCCCAAAGAAAGGAACTAACGGCAAGCCGTCTCGAAAGCTCCGCACTCGAAGACCTTTCCAGTGGCACGATCTATGCGACCACACAAAGGAAACCGGCTCGTCCAGACGAGCGCCAACGAATCCTGGCTGCTGGCGGGACTGTGGCTTGGCAAGTGATTCCGAACCTTCTGTGCCTACATCTCTTGGAGATGAAGTTCGCTCGTACCTTTTCGAAACACTGTAAACACTGAGTGCCCTGAAGAGCAATGTCTGGTCGATGGGGCAGTAGTTTCAGCAGCTTTAGGTAGATCAGATGGCCATCCCGATCGTCCAGCGTGGCGGCGTGAGATGGATACGCGCAGGACAACCATTGGGCGGGCTTGCCATGTGGCTTCCTGGGTTCCTCTCTGTGTGCGCAGGTCCAGAACGTGTCATGGACAAGCAAGGTACCGCTCGAACAAGAGTCCAGCAGTCTAAGTGTCTCTCGCAATGAGCAGACCAGGCATGGGCGGCTTGGCGATGTCTCGCTCCCTCGGCGACTTGAGGCCTTGAATGGGCATCAGCCTTTAAACACATGCAAACAACATGTACGAAGACAGCAATGTGCTTGCCTACTGCAGGCTCCACCCGTATGCCGCGAGGCTGCAACTGGTCATGGCGGTCGCTGTGTTCGGCCAAGGACCCAGGACGGTTCAGACCGGCTGTGGCAGCCAAGGTCAGCTCGCAACCGGAGGTCGTCGAGCGAAAGCTGGACAGCAGGGATAAGGCGACGTAAGAATGACTCGACTATTTTCATGCCGCTAGAGCTGCCAGCATGCTGCACTCAGCATTGCAATTCACTTGTAGCTGTGGGAGGTACTCGTACTTGCTTCTGATGGTGTTTGGGATCATGTGACCTCCCAAGAGGCCCGACATGGCATGACTCTTCGGGCAGACAGGCATGCCCTAGTTTCAAGAATTAGGTGAGGCGCTTGTAGGGGCGGGATTTGAGTGTTGCCATGCGACACCTGTTGGTGGCAAGCATCTTTTTGCCGGGTTACCTGTCGACAGAAACATCGGAGCAACTGGCAGGCTGTCGAGATCGCTGGCAGAGTTGACGATCCCAAGGCCGCAGCGCGCGAAATCACAGGCAACTTCGTGATGACTGCAGTGAAACGCTTGTAAGGAGAGGTTCGAAAGATTCGGGACGAGGGGCCGGTGGGTTTTAGTGAAGTCTCTGCAAGGTAGATGACCCGTTGGTTTGACTTATCTTCCGTCCCGCCCGGTTTGGATTCAGGCGTCGCTTTGCGCATGCGTTAAGGGCAATATCATACCACGGCCGTGCCATGTCGTGCAAACTCTCCACTGGTGCTCCGGCGCTTGTAGCCGCAAAGCTTTGGCGAACCATAGTTTGCTCTGACTGTGTTCTCGAAGACCCGGGTGGCCTTCCGGCAAAGACTTCTCAGGTCAAGCATGTCCTGGTGTGAAATCACGGGCAGTGACGCATAGTGGTTGATGTGCCAGGAATTGCCCGCCAGCGGTGGCAGATCGCCACTGATGGCCAGATGTCGGACGACATCACAGCAGTTGTAGTCTCCAGACAGCAATTTGTTGCATAGTGCCTAGTGATGCTCTCGTCTGCGGGCATGGGAGCAGAAACTCGTTTTGGCAATTTGCCCAGCCCAGGTTCGCCTTAACGGTGATTCCCAGGCGGCGTCGCAGGCAATGGCTGCCGGCCCTGTGCCAAAAGAGAGCCAGACGGCGCAGATGCGGAGGACAGGCGGGTAGGATGCACTCGATTTTCAAAACTTTCAACCGGACGATGCCGGGCAATGGGATCATGCAAGGCTTGGTAAATGCCACGTACACCGTAGCTTGACATCTTAGTCCATGCCACCATCCAAAATTCCGAAGTTCAGCCCTTTGGCAAACCTTGGCATCGCAGAGTCTGAGGACCAGCGTGCTCACCTCGCTGTTTGGAGGCTGGGATGCACAGCAAGGCTTTTATGCCAGCTGTGCCTTTTTTCACCGAGCTGGTACAGGTGGCCCTCGACGGGGAGCACGATTGGAGGTAGGACCTTGCCGGCAACTGCATCTCCTGAGGTCTCCGAGCGTGCTACCAGGTTAACGGACGACTCCAGGACTCCAAGAAACCATCTTCGCCGACATTCCCCATGCAGCAGGCTGAGATCCGGTTTCTGCCGGCAGCTAAAGGCCTCCCGCATCAACGGGCAACAAGGCTTTCCGCTGTACCAGAACCCAGTGCTTTTGCATGCTTTTACTTCGTCTTGTTGTTTATCATGGTACTAAGCTGCAAGCTTGCGGTGCCCTTTGCCAGCCTGAGGCCGCAACATGGTTTAAGGCTTCCGGAGTTCCAATCTCAGGATGTCGCAGTAGACTTGCACAGCCCTATCTGAGAGAACGCAGCCTTTTTGTCCGGCGGCGCTCTGCCGAAGCGAGGTGTGGTCCACGTGGTCCGGGGGGGAAACCTCGCTCCATCACAGCATCAGGTTCTCGGTAAATCTCGGTAACGGTTGCGTCGCCAGAAAGCCGGTAGCTTGAAGCTGACTGCAACGGATGCTTGCTCTGATAGCAGCTTGCACGTGGGGACTTTCAGACTGGTGCTTTGTACAAGTATAGTAGATTTAGATTATCAGTGTAGAAGTTACGTACGTGAGGGTTGCAGCTCTGGAGGCCGCCGTTCCGAGGCAGCTGCTGGCTTGAGGGCCAGGCCAGGAGAGAACTCTTCGCCTTCGCTGGTCTGCTCTCTCTGCCGCCAGGCCCGTTTCAACAGGGCAGGCGCCCGGTAACCCGCTTGCTTCTAAGCGACCGCAGAGAGGTTGTGAGAGACCTGTGGATCCAGCTGACACGCTCCTTGAGGCGAATGGCCTTGGATTCGCTTCCTCCTGCTGGACAGCGAAACGGTGTACTGTGAGGCGCCAGTTCAATCACTTTGATGTGCAAGCTGGAGTTGGTGTCTGCGCTCAGGGTGCCCAGCGAGCTCCGCGCTAAGAGCCAAAAGCAAACGCTGCCTCCTGTAATTACTAATAACTCGATCTGACTGCATGCCTTACAATAATATGCCGTGTTCACTGGGACTTTATTTGAGGACCCCGATCTGTGCAAGTTCAGGTGGGCAGAGTAGTGAGCGTTAACGAACGCAGCAAGCTCCTCGTGTCAGAATGCACGCAACAGTCACGGAAAAGAATAATTCTTCAGTATTGGACTTGGATAGTCTAGCGATGGCCTGCAGTTGTTATGTTTAAACTCCGGGTCATCACCTTAACATCCATGGGAGCTAAAGTGCATGTGACCGCGCATGGATTTTCTGTGACTGTGTCTTTTAAAGCAGGCAGCGCTTCGCCGATCTCGAACGAATCATTTACTGACCTCCCTACGAAAGTCACTGCATGTGCTTTAGCAAATGTGACTCTAGACCCAAATGCAATTCTTTCGAGTGTCGGCACTGTCCTGTTCTAGCGCAGCAGGAATTCAACGCTGGTGCTTTTCAGGTGTTTGAAGACGGATGGATATTGGCAAGCGCACAGGTGAAGAACCCGTGCAAAGATGATCAAAGGTGCTCAGTACGACTTAGGCGACTGCGTTCAATGCCGAACACTCTGCGTTTGTTCTGCCTAGCCTGAACTGCGCCGCAAGGGTGAGTAATCTTAGAGAGTCTGGCTCCGATTTCGCTTAGCTTGCAAGTGGGCTATGACACCTCGTCGTTTCACCCACAGCCGTGGGTTGGGTCAATGCAAGTGCTTGTGCAATCAAGAATTCTATCTACACCCCGGATGCAAAACAAACTGTTCGGACTGTCCCAACCTGACCGGCATTCCCACAGCATTTGCCGTCTACTTGCTGCCGTTCCAAGGCACTGTGCCCAAGAAAAGGTAAGGATTAGCTGCAGCATGGTCCAAACTTGCATGCCCGCCACTTCCAGCCCATGCACCCACTCGATGCCCCAGCTGCGAGCCCAAGCCCGGTCCTAATTGGAATGCGGGCGACAGCAGAGAAATACCGGGAGGGAAGAGAAGGAAGGGGTCAGGCGTTCACGTGGAATTTTCAGACGACTAGAAGTACCATGTTGCAACAGAGAGGACTCCACGACTGAGTCGAATTGCGTGGTCTCCCAGGCCTGTTGGAGATGTTCTTTGTCATTGCCCCTGTGGACCGCCGACGGCCCCTCAACAATCAAGGAACACGTAACGTTTGAGCGCAGAGGCTGTATTCATTGTTGAAACAAAACGTTTCTCATGTTTGAATGTTAATTTCTCCTGGTTTACAATCGTGATATGTCGGCAAACCCTATTCTAAACGACTGAAAGCACTGGTTCGAGTTTGCAGTCGCTCCAGTCAATATGCGGCAGCTTTCTCCTGCAGACGCCGAAATTTCTGTATCCAGCGATTTTGGGTCGGAGGATGGCTTCAACGTGTTGGACGCAGCGCTGCCGAAAAATTTAGCGGATCCAAGAGACAAGGGGAAGACCCCCAAGACAGTGCTACGCAAATGCACAAATATTGCTTGGATTTTTCCTTTCCTGGCGCTCTTTGGCGTGTGCGGCTGGATCACACACATTTCAGCCAGGGTCGGCAAGCCAGCGATCATGTTTAGACCGCCCAACTTCCAAGGCGAGCTCTGCGGCAAGCGAAGGTATCATGGAATGAAATTCCTTTTTTTCTGTCTGAGGGAGTCGCAAGCAAACCAGAGTTTGGAGATCAGATATCCTATCTGTGTGAAGGAGTGCCCAACTTCCTCCAACACCTCCAGAAGCTGCTATACTGGTAAAGGTGAGGCGAGCGATGTCCGTGCGTGGCAGTCCACCCGCGACTACCCCACACAGCCATTGATGTACTTCTGCAGGCCTCACAGAGACTACACAATGGGCCTCGGCGACGATTTCTGGACCGCACTGAGCAAGGGTCCGCCGACAAGCTATTTCGTGGCAGCTCATTACAGTGGCTGGCCAGAGGTTTTAGCAGTATCTATTTCCGCGTCAACTCTGTTCTCGCTTTTCTACCTCATGCTCTTGTCGAAGTACTCGCACACCTTCATTTGGCTGTCGCTGACTGTGCTTTTGATCTTTGCTGCCGCCACTTTTTGCGTGTATGGCTACTGCTTCAAAGAAGGCTGCCATTTTTGGACGGGACAGGGGGCAGGGCATCTGGACGACTTGTTCAAATGTCTTGGTGCTGGCCTTTGTGGCTTCTTCCTCCTGCGGACCATGAACAATTTGCACTCAGATCTGGATATGGTGGGGCGCACTTTGGAGATGGCATGCTCTTGTATTCTGTCCGGCCCTGTCATAGCTGCCCTGCCCATCGGGGTCCTTGCTGTCCGGATTTGCTTGACGGTCTGGCTGCTCTACGTGCTTTTTTGCCTCTATGGCTTCCAGGTCCACGACAAGTTGACAGAAGTCGAGAACCCTTGGACCTCCCAGTGGTTCAAGTTTCCCCCAGTTGACAATCATGAAGACTTTTGGATGTATATGATTGTTTCTGTGCTGTTCTACATTTGGTGCATTGGCACCAGCACGTCAGTTTTTTATTACTGCAATTATTATGTAGGGCAAGTTTGGTTTTTCGCCCGTGGGAAAGTCTCGCTTCAGCAATGCAATGCTCCAACGGCCCTATACAGCTGCATACGGTATCATTTTGGCACTATGATTCTCTCAGGGTTGTTCATCGTCTTGGTGGGGCCACTGCATGCCACACTGGGCAGACTACGCACAGCGGCAGATGCTGAGAATTCAGTGGCCGAGCTTTTGTACTCTTGCTTTGCAAGCTGCCTTGACTTTTATTCGGAGACATTGGCGCACCTCGAGCGTAATGCCCTGCAAGATGTAAGCCTGCAAGCCTTCGAGTATTTCGAGGGTGCGGAGCACGCAGCAGAAGTGCAACGCAACACATCGACATCAGAGGAGGTGATGCTTCTCAAAGCCTCATATATGCTTTTCCAGGCAGCCGGCGTGGGATGTGCTGGTGTGATTGCCTGGTTTGCTTCTGTTTTGACTTTGTCGCAAGAGCAATTCACAGATGAGGACAGCCAGTACTACGTGAGAGACAAGTCTTTGGTGTGCCTTGGAGGTGTCATCTTCTCGGCTGCCTCAGCCATGCATTTCATGTTTATCTTCGACGTGGTGGGAGAGGCTCTGATCTACAGCGAGGTCGTGGATGAGCAGCGAAATCCTGTCAAGACACAGGTGACAACCGCGGCCGACCACATCATGAGACACTGCACCCCGTGGGGCCAGATGATGGCCGACATCACCTCCTGCCACTGTGGTTCTCGATCCCTTCCTGCTCAGAACTTCCCAGGTACGAGCATCTTTGATTGGGCCATGGACGGAGCTCCGTCCGACCCGTTGGCCGTGCCAGCCCCGATGGCAGCCAAAGCTGCTGCCAGACGAGGGGATGACAGAGATTTAGCAAATTTAGCCTGAGCTGGGAATGTAAAAAAGGGTGATCTGTTGAAGTATCCCACCCGACAAAAGGCTTGAAATTCAACCGAACGGCGACCTTGTTGATAGTAAAATCAACCAGCCAGGGCCAAAGCCCAAAGCCGCAAATTGGCATGGAATGATTCGCGAAGACCTGAGAGCTGTCCAATGTGCTTATATGCCCTTTCAGCATGAGCTCCATCCTCTCAAGAACGATGGTATGGGGGTCACGTAAGCACTTGGTAGGAGCGGGATATGCCAACTTCAGCAGCGTTTGTCCGTACACTGCTTGAACACCTGCAGCGTTCTCATCAATTCTCGCCTACAATTCATACCATTCCAAACGGGTTGGCAGCGCCCTCGCTGACAGGTGCTGCACTATGCCGAGTGCGAAAGTCATCAAAGAAACTTCGGTTTGTGGGATGCAGTTTTTTTCGAATGAACGAACTCATCCTTGGCGTTTTTGGCTCTCCCCACTGGATACCTTCTCTTGAAGAGATCGACGATAGTCTTTCAACTGGCAGACTCGGAGTTTGCAAAGGTGAACTGAGAAGTGGATTGATCAAGCCGATACCAAAGTGCACAGTTTGGGTTTTTCTCACAGAAGCCCATCAGGTCTCTGGCCGCTCTCCATGAAGTCATTGCTCTCGTACAACCAAGGTCAAGGACCATCGAGGTTGGAGTGACAGCATGGGTGAGGTACGATGTCTCGCCTTCAGAAGCGGACATCAAGACCTGCTCTGTGAAGAAACTGTTCACGGTGTAGAATGTATTCGAGGAAGAAGGCTGAACTGCAGAGGAAGTGGAGCTTGTGTTCTCTGTGGCCGTATTTGCAAAGTGGTCCTTGCCATCGCCTTTTATCCGTCTTTGCTCCATTTTCCCTTGCCTTTTCCTTTCTTTCCCTTCTTGCTCTTGCCCTTGGCGGCATAGGATTCCTCAGCGGCATCTTGCCAGGACCAATCTTCGTCCCAGCCATCTTGCCAGTCCCATGCCTGCGAGGCATCCGACTGATCTTCGGCAAGATGACTCTTGCCTTTGCGCTTGCGAAAGAAGCACCGGCCTCCACGGCCTTTTCCTTTTCCCTTTCTTTTGCCGCCGCCCTTGCCACGCTTCATCTTCCTACCTTGGAATCTTCTTTGGAACCATGCTGCTGAGTCGTCATCGTAGACCCAGAAAGTATCCTCCTCGAGCTCCAAGAATCCTTCGGCACCGTCCTCTTCATCCTCGACCCAAAAGCCTGCACTATTGTCCAAGTAGCCTTCGTCGAGGACGAGGAAGGTTCTTCTGCCGGCATTTCCTGATGGAGCCAACAAGGGATTTTCCACTGAGGTCCTTGTTGTGCAGAAGATTTCCAAGTAGACTTCACGAAGTCCTTGTATGCGGTTTTCTGAGAGAGGCCGATTCCGATGTGCCATCAGAGAGGTCAGCACTTGCCGTTGATCCTGTGAGGTCCGCCATGGAGACGAACATCAGTGCGACCAGGTTCTCTGGGATC